CTCGCCCACCCGCCCCAATCCGAGCCAGCGAGGCTTGTGGCCGTGGCCTCCAAAGTAGCCAACGAAGGTGAGGCAGAGGCAGGCGGCCACGTCGTAAGAGCTGGCGATGAGGCCACTGTGGTAGCTGTGCAGGTCGTAGCGCCGCTCAATGGATGTGATGACAGTATTGATGAAGCCGTTCACTGTCATGCCCTGCAGGAAGGAGGCCGCGCACAGGAATAGCAGGAAGCCCCGGGGTGTGTTGAAGGCCTGCAGGCACGTGGGCGCGAAGGCCCGCCAGCCGCAGGCCTCGTCCGGCCGCCCTGTCGCCACGTAGCGCACCTCCCGGGCCGCCTGGGGCCCATGCTTCTCGGGCCGCGGCTGGCACAGCGGCTGGCTCAGGGGCGAGCCAAGGGACGCCCGCCTGCTGGGGGGCGTGCAGTCACACTCGCTGTTGGTGGCCAACGGGGGGCCGGGGAAGACCAGCTGCGGCATCTCCGATGGCGTGACAGCAACGGCAGCGGGAGTGGATGCGGAATTCCAGCGGCGGTCCGATCTGCGGGAAGAATCCATCTCCAGGAGAACCCTCCCCCGGCCTGTCCCCGGGGGCACCGACGGCTCTGCCTGTCCGCTACCCAGCCTAGTGAGGGCAGCCCCCGGCCTGAATGAGGCCACAGAGCTGAGACACAGAAGGACTGAATCAGACGCCATGTGAGCCTTTGGTCCACCCCGACCCGCACCTTCCCCATGGCCTTGGCTCACCGGCCTGAGCTGTGCGCTCCACCAGGGGCAGCTGACCGCGCCCGCCCTCAACTCCAAGCCCAGCCTCCATTCTTCCCTGAACTCACACCCGGCCGGCCTTGTGCTCTTTAGCATGAAAGGAAAATCCAACTTAGTCCAGTGTGTGGAGAGTGTGGGAAATGAGGAAGGGGGTACAGGCAGGCCCACCTGGGCCCCTGGGATGGCACCAGGCGGGAGGGTTGGCTGGCGCTGGGCCTCGCCCGTGGCTGGTCTCTCGAGATGCTGAAACCCCTGCAGATCGCAGCCCCGCAGACAGGTTCAAGGGACACTGTGCCAGCACTCCATCTTTCTGCAAACTCCCAGCCCGGCCTGTTCCCGTTGCTCTATCTGGGCCCTCACTTTGACTCCCAGCCCACGGACCAAAAGGAGCTCAGTCGGGCCTGAGAAATGGCTGCACCTCGAGGCTCCCGGGGCTCCCACACACCCCCAACACCCCCAAGCTTTGAGAAAAGGCGGGACCTCTTGCCAGGTAAGCAGATGCTTCTGGATCCCCCAGGTGGCAACACTAATTTTCCCAACAGAAGTAAACCGGTCAGCACAGTACAGTCGCTGTGATAGGAAACTCCTGATCTTGGTTCTACCCACAGCCCCTGGGCCCCTGTGCGAGGGTCTTCTGCCAAACTCAACACGCTTCCATCTACCTCTCACTATGGGCTGAACTGTGTCCCCAAAAGAAGATACGCTGGAACCCTAAGCCCCAGCTCCCTGGAATGTGAGTGATTTGGAGGGGGGCCCTCTAAGGAGGTGACAGGTAAAATGAGGTCACGGGGTGGGGGGCCCTGGTCCACTACGGCTACTGTCCTTTAAAGGAAGGACTCTGGACCCAGACAGGCACACAGGGAGAACCCGCTGTCGGCCACTCAGGGCCCGAGGCGGCCTCAGACCCCACTGCGCACGGGTGTCAGTGATGTCGGGAGAGGCCGCTGCCCAGAGGGCTGCCGCTGCCCCCAGACTTGTCTCAGATTAGACTTGGTGGACCGAGTCCTTCAGGCAGCTAGTCACAGAGCACCATTCTGCTGGGCCCCGAGCCGGGGACGCGGAGGGGCAGAATGGTGATTCCCCACGCCCGGCCCGAAAAGATACATCCTCCCGACCTTGAGCATGACCTTATTTGGAAAAAGTGTCTTTGCAGATGTGATCGGTGATTTGAGATGAGGTCCTCCTGGCTTGGGGAGGCCCCCAAATCCAGTGACAGGGTCCTTATTAGAGAAGCCACGGGATGGCAGAAGCAGAAACTACAGTGATGAGGCCACAAGCCAAGGACGCCTGGGGGAAGCTGGAAGAGGCGGGAAGGACCCTCCCCTGGAGCCTCCAGAGGGAGGGCAGCCCAGCCCTCACCCTGACTTCAGACTCTTGGCCTCCAGAACTGGGCGGGGAATAGAGTGCTGTTCTTTTAAGCCCCCAGTTTGTGGTCCTTCATTACAGGACACTCACACAGCCCCCAAGGAGGCCCGGCTTTCAGGAGACCACAGGCCTGGAGGGAGGTGGAGTCTAACAGACACTCAGAACAGGACGTGAGCCCAGTGGTGAGTGCAGAGGGCGGTACCACTGAGTGTCCTGGGCGGCGGGGTGGGAGGGAACATAGGGTGCCTCTGGGGGAGCTGTGCCTGGCAGGGGCCCAGCTGGCAGAGGGCAGAGAGGACTTTTCAGCCGTGCTGGCCACAGGCAGATCCTTCAGCCCTTGCGACGACAGGTTTTTGGCTTCTGTGGGCTGGTTTCTGTTTGTTCGCTTGCTTTGTCTTGTTTTGTTTTTTGTTTTTTGGCCAAGCCACGTGGCATGTGGGATATTAGTTCCCGACCAAGGATCGAACCTGTGCCCCTTGCAAGGGAAGCTCAGAGTCCTAACCACTGGACCGCCAGGTTAGGACTGTTTTTTAACAAAAGATTGGCTTTATCTTGTGTTAACCTTGCAAACTGGGAAGCGGTCCAGGGTGAGGGGAGCGGGCCGTGGTGGGACCACACCCGGGTCTGGGAGGCAGTTTTGTGTGTGTGGGGGGGGGGGGGGGGGTCTGGGAGCTCCGCCTCTCCTGATCCCCTCGCACCCTGTGCGTTGAGGCTGGGATGCCAGGTCTTTCTGCCAGGCCTCTGCCTCTCCTCTGCTGCGCCGTCTTAGCTAATTTTAGCCTCACCCTGGCCTCCTCTCCGGCCTTCCCTGGGGCCAGGCCGTGGGCACAAATGCCATAAGACACTGCAGCATCCCACTTCCTGGCAGAGTCTGAGCTCCACGCACAGCCCATCTTACAGGAAAGGGAAGTGGGCCCAGAGGAGTCAGGAGTTCCCCCAAGGCCATACAGCCATCCAGGGCCAGTTAGGACGAGACCACGTGGTCCGGCTTCAGAGCCCACGAGCGCGTTGGCTGTCCTTGCCAACGTTTCACTCAGAGAACCACGACCAACTGTGTGGCATTGACACACAGGGCTAACTCTTTGCTCTGGAAACTGGCACTGCCAGGCGATCAGCAGCCAGACCTCGAGGCCAAGCGTGGACAGGAACAATCCCGCCTGAGTCATTCCCCAGGGCCCGCGACCACGCCCAGGGCTGTATGTACAGAGCCACCACCTCCTCCGTGCACCCTGGCATACCAGGCTCGGTCACACGGATGAGGAGGGTGCCCACCGAAGGAACAAAGTTCATGCCGCGTGAAGGATCATCAAGCCTCCAGGAGGGACAGAAAGCCACGCACCTGCTCCCAAAGCAGGTACTGTAGGCACTTGGGCCGCCGTGGAACAGAGCAGATGGTGACAAGTGTGAGCCCCGAGACGGCACAGTTCTGCTTCCCACCAGCCCCACGGCTCAGACGGGCTCCCGCGGCTCAGACGGGCCCCCACGGCTCAGACGGGCCCCCGCAGCTCAAACGGGCTCCCGAAACAGAAACGCAGAGAAAGCTCGACCTTGCGCAGAGGCGGCCGCGTGTTTGTGCTGTGGGGATGCATTCCTCCGCCATGTGCACACACACACACACACACACCTGTGCACACACCTTCCACACGGAAACACGTGAACGCACGCACATAACCAGCAGGGCCCTGGACCCCTTCCCAGCTGGGATGGACCCAAAGGGAAGGCATCCAAGCGGGCCGAGGGGCAGCGGCTGCTCTGAGAGGTCGCTCCAGCGGCCTGTGGGGATGGACGCTCAGTACTGGGCTGGGGAATTATTATTGGTGGGTGGGCCTTCCTAGGAGGGATCTGCAGAGCCGCCTCCCCCCAGCTCTGAGCTTGTTTAACCATCCCGCCCATCCCCCGCAAGGAGAAATTCAGGGGCCGAGAGGGGAAGGATGGACCCCAGCAGGGCTTAGGAGGCTGAGCTAGCGCGACTAGGAATGGTCATGAAGAAATAGAGTCCTTCCTATTTGAAAATAAAGCCCTTAACAAAACTCCAGTGCCAGTGGTGTGTGGCCCAAACAGCTCCATGTCAGCGTAAAGTTTACCTGAGCTAAGAGCTCTGATCTCTGACATAAACACATAAAGTCAACCTGCAGTCACGCACATCACTTGCTTGTTGATTCACAGACTGAAAATCCCATTTTAGACATCAGCCAGGCGACCGGCAGTGGTCACCGCCCACACGGGATGAGAAGTAAATGGCGCCACTGGGTCGGCAGCCCCGGGGTCTCCTCCCTGGGTCCGTCAAGAGCGGCTGTGATGGCCAGGACACAGCAGCCTGCGTGCACACTGCACGCCCCCCCCACCTTTGAGGCAGCGCGATGACAGCATCTACCCAGTCTCTTACTAAGCCCAGATTCTGTTCCACCTGCTGTGTTCCAGTCAGAAGGCGTTCACCCTTATCAGCAGCGTCTTGATCAGAAAGGAGGCTGGGCCCTCCCGTGACGCACGTGCTGAGTTGTGAGGGGCGGGGGCGGGGGCGGGGGAAGGCAGACAGAAACACCTGCGACGTGCAGCCAGTGTGTCTGGAATGCCCCCTCCGTTGGCAGGCAGCGCCGGATCCTGGGTCCGGGGCTGTGTGACACCTGGAATCTCACAGCCACGAGGACGGTCCCACGTTCTCGGGTCTTCAGGCGGGGAGATTCCTGAGTTTGTACCCAGATCTCATGCGGCTGTGTCCGGGCGACGCATGCTGGGCATGCACGGTGTCAGGAGACAGCTCCAGAAATGGACATAGACAGTCATGTTGACGCCTGCCCCGGACTTAAAGGACACTTTGCTGTGTGTGCAGCTCGAGGACTGAATCTCACGGCAAAGGTCTGCTGCATAAACGGGCCTGCAGGAGCTGCCAGGTCCAGCACGAGGGCATCTCAGCCACCGTGGCCGAGTCCAGGATGCAGACTCAGATGTGGACTGGGGGGCACGGCCAGCTGCTCTGTCTTGGTCTCCCGGTCATCAGCACCCTCACGACAACGCTGCTGGGGCCTGGGGGGTGCAACCCAGGCCACTCAGGGTGATTTCTTTCCTGGACATGCTTCTGAGATGGCCAGAGTTGACTCCCCGCGGGGCTCAGCCAGGAGAAGGTGACTTCATGGCTGGTGACTCCCTGCAGGTGGCCAACCCCCATTAAGGCCAGGCTGGTGGCCCCGAGGCCATTGCCTTTTGTTTCTCTGTCTCAGGTCCCTGTGGTCAAGCTGGTGGGAGGGTGACAGGGGCTGCAGAGTCCAGTGGCAGCACCACTTAGATGCCAGCTGGCTTCCCCAAGGAGTGGACACCACAGCTGGGCTTGGGGTGGAAGTTAGGCCTCCCCA